TATCCATTATCCAGTTATTCTTTTCTTAATGTGTATTGTGTAATACTTTGAACATAAAAAAATGAATTCCAATAGAAAGGGCCGGTCAGAAAATAACAATTTAGGTTAGGTTAGGGTTGAATTTTAGTGTGTTTCATCATATGGAAAGGTAAGGCATCTTTCGCTGAAGGATTTGTATTCATCAAGCATAGACATATAGTATTATAACTTATAAGTCAAAGAAATACACTGGTTTCGTTTAGACTGAAAGTCTTTGCTCAGAATTGTTTTTCGTATACAGTGATAGTATATCATTGAATTCAAATTTAACACCATCCATAACAATGACAGCAAAACGACACCCACTTGCCCAACTTCTTTTTATATTTTATTAGGTGCATTTTGTTATTTTTCCTTAGGAAATAGATCAACAAAATCTTAGTTATTGGAACAAGTAATAGCGGTAATGTGTGTTGCTATCTGCCGAATAATGTCGGTAGTGTGTAAAACCGACTATTATTTTATAGTTAAATGTAGTAGTATTTTTTATCCACTAGTGTAGAAGTGTGTGTATAAGTTGTGTTTTTCATAATTGATATATTGCTTTTTTCAGTTTTTATAGCTCTAACAAATAAAATGTTCAAACCAACACAATGATAATGTTTCACATTTAAGAAGACGTCGCACCCGCATGCGTTGTCTCAGTCACCCTGAACCACATACACACACGTACGACATATAGCTAAAGGGCTGAAGCCCCCCCCCCCTCCATTGCCCTTATTATTATTACTTTTTCAACAAAATATTAATCAAGTTAAACTGTCAACTATAGTAAGCAAGACGTAAATTTCATAAATGTCTTACCAGGATGAATTCATTTTTGAAAAAACATTGTATTTGCATACCAATTTTCATAAATTATCTGTAATGTTTCAGTAAAAATATGTACTGCTTGTATGAAAGACCTTGTTTTAAATTGTCTAGCCTTATCTATACATATTTTATATTTTATAAGTTTTGAGCTACAAATTAACAGTGGTTTTGACGAAATTTGAACTTTAAATGGTTATAAAAAGTAACCATGATGAATATGTATCATTAATATTTTAGCTATAATAATTACATTTTTAAGCTTTTTGACCGGATGAATAATTTTTTATTGACATTTATAGAAAAAAAAAATGTAATTATTCAAATACAATCCATGCAAGTGAAGACGGTATAACCAAACATTTAAATAAATTTTCATTTTTTTTCTCCAATTATTTTTAAAAGCACTGAGCATTTTCAATTTCGACCTCCTAAAAGTACCAACTAGATCCAATTTTCTTCCAAAAATAAACACTGGGAATCGAAACTTATGATCAGGGCATTTTTTCTACCAGAAAAGTTTAAAAGTTACAAACATTTTAAAATAACTCAAATAAACGTCTGAAATTATTAGACTGGACAAAATAAAAACTAATTTTCAAGCCCCCCCCCCCTTGAAAAATCCTGCTGACGCCACTGCTTTTCTTAATAATTTAAACAACAGTGGGGAAACGGGAATATTTACCCAACACCAAATGTTGACTTGTTTTAATTCTGAAATTAATAACAGTGGGTGCTTTAAATGGATACCAATCATTTGTAATACATGATAAAATAATTTTCAACTTCTATTTTCTTTTCAGTTTTATTGATTTTTTTGTTTCCTAATATTTGCATAACACTAAACCAAATAAACGTGTTGTGAGCACGATGAAGATAAAATCTAATATATTTTAGATAAAATTACAATTAACGTCGTGGTTGTGGGCATGACAAATTATATTTATATACTTATAAAACATAATATATTTTGTCATAGTTGTGGGTATGATAATTTATTAATAATAACTGACCGATGACCGCGATCATGGTTGATATTTTCAACAAATGCGCAAATGGTGTGTTCACTTTTGTCAATAGATAGCGCTGCCGTTATTAATTTTGTATTTTTAATAGAATATTTGGATTTCTAATTTCGAGCCAATAAATAATAATGAGAGGTTAATGTGGTGGGAGAACGCAAGTAGACTCAGTCCCTCTACTTCCTACCAGAAATTATTCAAAAGGTACGGTAGTAATAGATAGGTAAATAGTAATAGCTGGTCCTCAACGTTTAATAAAAAGTGTCCTCCATAAAAACTATTGTTTATATTCGTAATGTGATAATTTTCATTGCTCAACGTTATTTCATTAAATATTGTGTATACAAAGTATATTTTGTTTAATTTATGATATAATTAATAATTCACTATGTTTCAATATAGTATTACTTTCTGAAATTATAAATATTCAAGTCTGAGGGCCGTACATGGTCGATGCGCCTGCTAGTGTTTCTTTAATAAGTCGCATTATTTAGGCAATATGCAATATTTGACCACCCATGCCATTTGTGATAGTCTTCAATGATGATTAGTGTGAGTGTAATATTGTATACGGGTACCGGGCTATCTACGCACGCACTGAATCACAGCACATGTCAACAGCACCGCAGAGGCCGACCAAAAATAAAATGAGTGATTTTTTGCTCAAAACATGCTTTACGGGAAAAACACTCAAGCGTCGTAGACAGGTCTGATTTACAGGGCGCATAGGACTTCGATTTTCAATTTTGTTGCTTAAAACAAATATTATAAGAAAAATAAGAAAATCTTATGAAAATTGGTCATATTCAAAATCGTATTATATGGTTTAGAATTATAATTTTGAAAATCCAAGTCCAATGCGCCCCGTAAAGAGTGTTTTTCTATCAAAAAAAAAAATTTATCGAAATCAGTTTACTCTACGAGGCGTGAGAGTTTTTCCTGTAAGGCATGTTTTGAGCAAAAAAACAGGTCACGTGCAGGCCCCTTAAGAATAAATATATTGCTTATAAGCTAATTTTGATAATTCATGATAATAACTAAAAGCAATACTTAAGGTAGGTATCGACCATCCTTAAAAACAAGTAATCCTTTTTCTTTTCTTAAGCCAAAGTCTCGTTTATGAATCTCATTTGAGTCATAGGTATAACCGTATAGGCGTATAGCACTATAGCTTAAGCAATACTTACTATGAATACAGCCCTACATTTTTCAGGTTAGTTTATCTCGAAACTACTTAACTACATAATCATAAACATAGTTTTATAGACCCAACCCCTGTCCTTGGAATAGTCGGAGATGAAATAGTAATACCTACACCACTACACCAGAGGTAACATATAATAATATTTTGATAATATATCTATATTTGAAAAAGCGTTTCAATCTTCTTTGAGGATGGTCAGGAATTGCACAGGAAGACAGTCTTTTTATTAGTGGTTTTTATTGTATGATGGATTAGTTTTGAGTGCACTGTGCATGCGATGTGAGGAAGCAGGATTTAGTCAAATGAGAAAGTGTATGGAATTTTAGGTCGTTTTGAATATTGAAGTATCATTTACAACTATGTTTACGACTCTTAACAATCTATTATAATCAAATATATTTATACCTTTTCTCTGATTACCTATTTTTATAATAAAAAGTTTAGGTACCCACTAGGTAGCCACCTATTAGGTAGGTACCTAATGTAACAATAATTTGGTTAAAAGTGGAGCTTGATAAACTTATTAGCCTAGGCCGTTGGGTTTATTTTTCATAATCTTAAATATTTTAGACTTGTATTAATAAAAAATGTATAATTAACTGACTTGCATATAATATTTCCACTCATTATGAATAGGTTCAATTATAAATTAGTATACTTTATGAAAAATTATAAATATATGATAATTGACCATATTGATATTGATATTTATAATAAGTACCGGCATTTGTATAGTACAATATGTGATATCGTGATTTGGGAGGGCTTTATATAGCCTGCCCGAGGTCTTGAAATCTGCACGATGAATAGAGTTCCTAAATTTATTTTGAAAACGATATATCTAGGTAGTAGGTACTATATCGCAGTGAGGTTACCTCACTGAAGTACCTTACTAAAATATACTAATACGAAAGTATACCTATATTTTTATGAATTATTTATTTTTATTAAATGGCACAAAACACAAGACAAAAAAAACATAAAAAAAATATAAAGATATAACATATTTTATTATTTATAGTTTAATATATTATACTATATTAATATAATTATTTTTGTTTACATTTAAAATAACTCATTTCTAAATAATATAATATTGTATGTTCAAGTTTTAGTTGATTACCTATTCATATATATATATATATATAAAACAAAAATAACACCTGAAAATAATAAGTCAGTGAAGAATGATGCACCAAAAAATGTTTAGTTGCCTAAACAATTGTTTTATAATTTAACCTATATATTACAATAAATTGAAAGTATAGATGCTAAACACATAAATATTAAATATACATACATCGTGTGCACATTTACTCGCAAATAATAACTTATATTAGCTATAAATACCTAAGTATAATAATAATGCATTTTTGAAAAGTATATTAATTAATTTTACAATTATTACAAAGTACAAAATATACGACACTTAATAAAAACACGAATACAGATTAACAATATTATTATTAAATTACATACTGCATAATAATAAAATAAACCGTTCACCCGGCTACGATGGTCGTTTAAAAAAAAATATACAGATAATAAGACTTTATCAAATTATTTTTAAAAAAAACGTTTGATGTGCGTTTAAAAAATAATGCCCTTAAAAAAAATAGTGCTTCTCTGGTTGGTTATGAAAAAAACCGCATTTGTATGGTACTATTAATAACTAATTTTCGACGTGTTTTAGAAAACAATAATAATAATTTATATTATATCATGAGCGAGTGCTTAGGACGTTACGTCATTACGATACATTACTGTGCCGGGTCCGGCCCTGCGAGTGGTGTGGAGGAAACGAATAGACTAAAAATATTTTTAAAAATAAAAACAATAACTTGTGTGGTGATACAAGAACAATAACGTTACGACGACAATCGTCACCGTCGTTGGATCGCCGAACGTATGAAGACGGACGCCGATCAGAACAACAACGGTTGAGGCCCGACCACGTTGTCGTTTCTACCCTCGTGGTTCAATGCCAACACCTTATACACCACGTCCAGGTCTCCCGGAAGTCTGGGCACTGACAACCCGTAACCGAACGACTGCGGTTGTGGTTGCCTATTCACTCGCTGTTGCTGCAGTGTCTGTTGCTGGGCGAACTGAGGCAGAAGCGCCAACGGACCGTCGCCGAACTGCAGTCGCTGTTGTTGGACAAATCGGTTAGGTTGCTGCTGCAACTGCCCTTGGACAGGTTGCAATTGTAGTTGCAGCTGCTGCTGTTGCTGCTGTTGTGGCTGCTGCTGCTGCTGCTGCTTCTGCTGTTGCTGCTGTTGTGGCTGCTGCTGCGGCTGGAAGACTACTGCCCTTTGTTGTTGCTGCTGCTGTTGCCGTTGTCGTTGTTGTTGTTGCTGTTGCTGTTGCTGTTGCTGCAGTTGTAGTTGCTGTTGTTGCAGTTGCAGTTGTCGTTGTTGGCCTATCTGTTGCAGCTGCTGTTGTTCTTCAAGCACCGCCCTCTGCTGCAGTTGTTGTTGGAATCTCAGCTGTTGTTGCATGGCAAACGACTCTCGTTGTTGCAGTTCTTCCCGCGATGATACCGACTGTAGCCGTTGCTTCGACAACTCAACGCTTTTCAGGAACTCTAGTTCACTCCTGTCTGGTTCAACTGTGTTCCGGTCGCCACTGTCACCTGATTCCGCCCGGGTTTCCAGGGCCAGTATCTTCTGCCTCTCCAGTTGCCCCGGTTCCGTGAAAATGGGTATGACGCGGCGTGGGACGCCCGCCGAGTCCTGTTGCACCGTGAATGCCGTCAGTAAGGGTGCCTCGAAAAAGTCAACTACGGTCCCGGTGGCTGTGGCCGGTGCCGTGGACGCAGTCGGCGTAGTAAGCAATGCATTGTTTGGTGCGTTGTCATTGGCGATCGACACGGACTTAGGGGCCTCGGATGAATCGAGCGTGGGAGGCAAGAGCGTCGGCAACAGTGGGGGTAACAGTTCTGATGACGTGGACGCAGCTAACGTTACGGTTGCGGTCTTGGGTGAGACTGAAGTGGGCAACGCTACCGTCGGAGTAAGCAATGCTTCGGTGCGAGCGGTGAAAGATACCGTCGAAGTGGGCGACGCTACTGTCGGCGTCTGCGACGACGTAAAGACCTGTTGTTCTTGTTCCACTTGTTCCGTTGGCTCTTGTACCTTGAGTTGCAATGGCAATTGTGAGTTCTGTCGCTGTTGTAGGTCTTGTGACTGTAGTATCTGAACTCCTTGATCCTGCGACGGTTCGAGTATCTGTTCTTGGTTCTGCGACAGCTCCAATCTCTGCTCTTGATCCTGTAACTGTCTATTCTGTTGATCTTGTAACTGAATTTGCTGTTGGCCTAGTATTTGTATTTGCTGTTGATCTAGTAATCGTATTTGCTTCCGTTGATTTTGTTGCCTTTGTCTTTGTTGTTGCTGCTGCTGCTGCTGCTGTTGCTGCTGCTGCTGTTGCTGCTGCTGTTGCTGCTGCTGCTGTTGCTGCTGCTGCTGTTGCTGCTGCTGTTGCTGCTGCTGCTGCTGCTGCTGCTGCTGCTGCTGCTGCTGCTGCTGTTGTTGTTGTTGTCGTTGTTGTTGTTGTTGCTGTTGTTGTTGTTGTTGTTGTCGTTGTTGGAATTGTTGTGATTCAACTTGCGCCAGCTTTACTTCGGTTGCTCTATCCTCTTCTTCCAATCGGTTGAGTACCTTTAGCAAAGCTTTACGTAACTTTGGATCCAGTTTCAGCGGTTTTTTTGCCAGGTCGTTAATGGACTCTGCATCTAGAGAACTAGAAGTTCCCAGTTGTTGTTGCTGATCTGCCCAACAGGAACCGGCGATTAAAAGAAACACACATAATGATGATACCTATAAACGAGACAAAGTTAAGTTATTACAGTTTACATGTTTACATGAAAATACAATTTGACAAAATATATTTCAATAATATATATCTACATAATGCATAATATATAACTATATAAGTAATATATATTAGGTATATATTATAATACGTTGTTAAAAAATATAAGATACTGTAGGTGAAATGGACACAGAAATAGTGACGAAGTCATTATATGAGTTTAAAGAGAAAAGTATTGGTATAGATGTTGAGAAATGTTAGATGATTAAAGAGATTTTGTTGCACGATTTTAAGTTCTACGAATACTGATTTTTCAGAATCAATCTTCAAGCGTGAGAAAGCGTATTATTATTGACCAACGAACTCGCGAGTTTATTAGGTAAGACAACAGTGGAACAATTGGAATCAAAAAAGTTGCACAGTAATAGTTTTAATCCAAATGAGGAACGATAAAAAAAAAAAAATCATTATAATATTCATAATTTTATTGTATGTAATAGCTAATGGGTGTACAACAATTTAAATTAAATATTTTTATTTATAAATGTTAAATAATAAATTGAAATATCAAACAAATCGTTTTAGGTAGAAATGTAGAATAGGTAGATAGTTTTCAATATAATATAACCCAAAATATACATTATAATATATTGTTGGAATAAAAAATAGGTATCCTTAATTTTAGTATATACCTATAAATAAATTTTTTATAATACTTTGCTGAATATTATAGACTATTAGACTATTAGACTATTAGACTTGTGATAATTTAATAGAGTTGATACTCCAATATCTAATTATAGTAATTTTTCTTTAAAAAATAATCTATGAACTAATATGAATTATTTGAAATTATATCTTATAGAACATTTTCTAAATTTTTACCAATAAGTTTAAAAGTATTTTAGGAATGTTCAAAATTCAAAGTTATTTAATAGACGCCTATTTTTTAAACACACGCGTTATTACACAAATTGTTTTCAATGAAAGTAAACAATAATTATTCATAACAACTTACAAATACCTACATAATGTATTTATTTTATTGTTTTTTATAGATTGTGTATTGTAACTTACATTTGTGTTATATATGGATAATATTATGAATTTGTAGAAAAATTGCAAATCAACCGTATGATTTAATAGATGCTTGAGACACGTTGTCTTTACTCGTTAGTATACATGCAGTATCAACACGGTAGGAGATAATAAGTAATACTTTTCATAACCTCACGTACATAATGTATTGGTAATTACGTGTATTTTACACACAATTCAATGTATTATTTTCACATTGCTTTCATTGGACTCACGATTAATGATTGCCGGTAGGTATGCAGTGTGTATACATATATTTGTAATACCTAAATCGTGTGTGAATCGTAAAAACAAATCGTATATCGTCGATGACTAATGGAAAGAAACAAACAATTTAAAATTACCTCAGTGCACCTCATCACTGTCATATTTGCATATTATAGACTTATATATTTTATCATACGCTTTATAATGTATTTATATAGGGATGCCACGAAAACGATTTCAAACAATACCGCAAAATTTTTACGATTTTAATAAATATTATATACGTACTCATGCATCACGTGGCTATATACGCTTACTATTTATATGAACTATGATAAATGTACATTAAGGTTATAAAATTAGTTTACGGCACACGTATTACTTAGATATAGGTACGTCATATTACAATTAGTATGCAAAAGTGGACATTAGACTAACTTGTTAAAAAGTTAAAGCCAAATAAAAAGTTATTTATTTTTGCAATTTAACTTAACTATATTTAATTCATTTTCTAATCAACTTATTAATTTATCTATAGATTTATAACAGTACATTGTAAATTGTAATAATACTTAACTTTTTTCGTTAATTTGAAAAATTATAAGTACCTTATTACGTTACATTAGATTCGTATTTAAGTAGATATATACAAATCTATTACTGCAGTTAAAATTTAAAATTTAAATATGTTTTTGTTTAACCATGCGAATACAAAATGGTTTTAAATAAAATTAGGTAAACTTATATATACATATATATATATTTCTTGATTTAATAATATTGTAGACTTCTACTTCTAAAATTGCCTTCACAACTACACTTCTACAGTGCAGTGTTCTATAATGAAGAGGAACACGATGAGTTTTTAAAAATATAGTTAGTTGTGAAAAAAATTAATGAATGTTGCACAATCACTATTGTTTGACCTAGGTGATTTTTAAAAACAAAATATTTAATATTTTTTAATTGAGTAGTATAATATATTACTAGTTATATAAAAATTTTATTCGTAAACTTATTTCGTTTAAACTTTTAGAGTTGAATATATTATTTGGTATGTTAGGTATCTGTTAACTTTTAACTAATTAAACCAGATGTAGATTCACTCTATAACTTAGTTAATTATATTACTCAGTACCCTATACATATTTTTTAATTCTGTTTGCGGGACATGAAACTAGACTAGACTGTAGGTATACATTAAATTTTGAAACGTTTTAACAAAAATTGTATGATATCGTAATGATATTATGACCAATGTCTTGTACTTCAGATATATTTATTACCATTTTATAAATCAAATGTCACTTCTCAGTGGTAAAAAAAAAATGTTTCCTAAAAGTATTTACTTAAGAGGATGTCACACCCGCATGTGTTGTCTCCGTCTTACAAATGTACAACATAGCAAAAACTGTTTTGCGTGGGACAACTTTTATCTTTCTGTGTTTGTCGTAGTGGCTCCTAAATTTCTAAATATATAGGGTGGGAAATTATTTATGTTTAGATAACATAAATACAATAAAAGTTATTTGCTTCTAAGCATTTGGTTTTTTTTCATTTGCTTATAAAAAATGATTGGATAGTGCTATTAAAAAAAAGCACGTGGTTGCACAGATAAAGTTCTTTTTTACGTGTTGTGAAAATTCGGAGGTTCTACAACAAATATGGTGCGAGAAAAGTAACTTTTTCAACTGTTGTCCCGAGCAAAACAGTTTTTTCTATGGCCTATATTGTACATTTGTAAGACGAAGAAAACACATGCGGGTATGACATCCTCTTAAGGAAAATAAATATTCACCCTCCACGAAACTCACATTTCGGGGTTTACAAAACTAATATTCTGGCCCTAGGCATTTACGCACCCATACAATATTTCACCATTTATATGGGCCTGAACACAAGTGCTTACAAGTAATAAGTACCTACTGTCATTGATTATAAATACTAGTATTTACAATCAATGCTATTACACATTAATGTATATTTTTTTTCATTGGACTCAACTTTATTCAAATATTTTCAACGAGACGTAGGTACGTTGCATTATATAAAGTAGGTATATATAATATTACATTGTGTAGTGATATTTTCGTTTCCGCGACGTTAAGTGGTCCGCTAAAAAGAGTGGTCTGCCACGGAACCGTACAAATCACACACACACACACACACACACACACACACACATACATAATATAATATATTATATACCTAGCTGTAAAGACCATTGTAATGTACAGAGCAAAGTCGTATTATCATCATATAACGTAATATAATAATATTATCATCATAGCCGAGGAGCGCCTCTAGTGCTTTTCCCCACTTGACAGTCAGTCGTTGGTTTTATTTATTTATTTGTACGTCTCGTGAGGCGGCGCGTGGAGAAATCACCCATATGTGCGGTTGCCTATTATAACGTAGGTACGCTCGCTCGTTTTGTTTACTCGATGGTCGTGTGCGAAATATCAAGTCATGAACTGTTGACCCGTCTGCAGTACAGACATGACCTCTCCGGGGCGGCGGACGCAGAAAGCGTCGGAGTGAAAGCGTGTTCGGGTTGGGCTCGGTGTTCTCCGTAAAATTTGTTTTTTGTTTTTGATGCAACACGTCGTAACTCTGATTTATCATAATAATAATAATAGCAAATAAAAAATAAATAAATACCATCGGACGCGTCCTACGCGAAATCGTACGAAATTTTTTTTTACTTTTTAATTCGGTATATTTTATCTATGAATCCGTTTTGCGGTCGACGTCTAAATTATCCATATACCTACTCACCACTATAATACAATTTGATCTTATGAACGCGGTCGAGAAAAACGTGTAGAAGCTATTTTTTTTCTTCATAATGGCGTTCGAGTGGAAGAGTCCGTGGCAGAATCTACGACGATAATATTATTATAACAACAAGCGGGCACGAAATCGATGATTGTGCACAACACTACAATAGTATAATATTATAATGTATTATACCTATATAGGTGTAATTATTGTGCGATGATCTATACATCGAGACGTCCGAAGAACGTGTCCGAACAAGGTAATATTTTTAACCTATGAGCCTATAATATAAACGTTAATATCGTATACTGCGTGTCTGAGTGTAGCATAAAGTGTTATTATGAGCGATTGTTGACATAATAAGTGATTCAAGCACATAAAACGAGATGATAAATTATTGAGGAAATAAAAAATATCATATAGGAACGTCTAAATAGGTACTCATATATGTTTCATTCCAGATATTGAGTTTAGAATTGTATACTTGAATCGTTTAAAAATTCAATCTTAATCAATATAAGGTTTATAAAATTAGTTATAATTGCAAGTGGTTACTGATATGATTTACCTAACCTATACTTAATAAAAAATTATGTAGCTATAGCCTACACCCAAACCTAAGGTGCATATTGGCACATTGTAATATACTAATGATTTGTTATTTATATTACTTTTACAAACTTTTATATACATACCATTTATAGTATTTAAAATATATCAAGTAAATTTACAATAACATATTTATAATTGATATAAATTATAGGTATTTGATATATTATAATTGTAAAATGTCTTTCCTGTCACACTAATTTGGATGCAAAATTATATTTATTTATTTTTAAATCTTTTGGGCTTATTCCATACGCCCATTATTAGGTATGAAGAATGTGATATTAGTTCCCATAACTACCTATACAAA